TGCAAGATATTCGTTAGTATGGCTATAGGATCGGGCCATTTCAGGCTCTCTCTCCTCAGCTGCCCAAGGACCTAGTTGGGTACATCTCTCTGAACCCCTGGGAACCCCTCTAGAGTCAAGGCTCTTGCCAACCCTAAAATGGCTCCCTTAATTAAGATATATACTTCCCTGCTCCCATATCTATCCTTCCATTATCCCAACCATCCATTCCCCCAAGTTCTCCCTATCCTCCCCTTCTCACTTTTCTCTCCCCATCTCCCCTTTCCCCCATCCCACCCCACACACCCCCAGTTCCCAAATTTTGCCCAGCAATCTTGACTACTTCCAATATCCAGGAGGACAACTGTATGTTTTTCTTTGGGTTCACCTTCTTATTTAGCTTCTCTAGGATCACAAATTATAGGCTCAATGTCCTATATTTATGGTTAAAAACCAATTATGAGTGAGTACATCCCATGTTCATGCTTTCATGAGAAGATAAATGTGGGTAAAACTACAACTACTTCTCTTCAAATAGACTGATATATTTGAAATAGATAGAGAGATATAAAGAAAGCTTTTCAATTGCTCATTTTCTGCCAAAACTTGAAGAAGTTTTGATGTAGTTTTACTTATCTATATACATGTAATGAGTTAGAAACCAAGCAATCGGTTCTACGGGCTTATTGAACACAACAGAGAGCCGTGATCACAAATCAATGAGCATGCTACTGCTCCACTTTATTAACAAGCAAAATACTATTCATAATTACTCATCAGTTTATCTCGAGGTAACTGAAGGGTATGCTAAACAACAAAACAAAATGATTTAACACCAAAAGTAATCTTTGTTGCTTGATAAACTCTACCCAAATCCACCAAGTAACAAAAAGTGAAAAATTTCAAATCTGTTAATAAACAGAATCAAACAAAATAACCAAACTTCAAAAAAATTCATTTTAGCCGGGCGATGGTGGCACACGCCTTTAATCCCAGCGCTCAGGAGGTAGAGGCAGGCGGATCTCTGTGAGTTCGAGACCAGCCTGGTCTACAGAGCTAGTGCCAGGACAGGCTCCAAAGCCACAAAGAAACCCTGTCTCGAAAAACCAAAAAAAAAAAAAAAATTCATTTTAAAGGTGTCGAGAAGCTTCCAGAAAAGACACACACATTACCCCATGCTTGGATTTCCTTGTATGAGGAAAGAAAAAGATAAATGTGAGGCCCTCAACAGCGCTGCATTTTCCTTTTAAGAAAGAAAGGACAAAATTCTTATTCTGAGATTAATTATTAAAAGAGATTATGGCAAAGCAGTGATGCAACAATTTTATTTAATAAGTGAAATGAGAAATTAATTTATATTTTCTCTTTAATTTTTATCACTTAAGAATTCAAAACTTTAACCTTAGTATTTCCAGGACACCTGCAGCCAATAAACAAGACCTCTAGCGTGCATGATGCTCACAAGCAGAGAATGTCACAACCCTGTGTACATTCACATACAGTTGAAATTTTATGACTTGACTATTCAGGGCTCTGGTCTGAAAGCGAACATGATGTAATGTTACTTTCTATTCGTGCAGAAGGATCCAGGCAACTTAAGTGGTCTTTAACCATCTACCTTTGAAAACATCAAATTACATGGAAAGAGCAGGTGCCACAAATTCATGCACAAATGTAAGTTTTCTTGAGAGCACTGAAATGCCTCAGAAGATCATTAAGAGTATCATTCAGAGAACTGGTGAGATGGATGGTTCAGAGGTTAAGAGCACTGGCTGCTCTTTCAGAGGTTCAGAGTTCAATTCCCAGCACCCACAGGGTGGCTCACAACCACCTTCCATAATGAGATCTGGCGCCCTCTTCTGGCATGCAGGCAGAAAGCTGTATCTATTATAAAAGAATAAACCTTTTAAAAAGAGCTATCATTCAAAGAAAATTTATACAATTTGGGTTATTAAGGTTTATAATAACCCTAATAATCAAGAGATATGCATATGCAGAGAAAAAGATGAAATATGATTAGTGCAACTAAAAGCCTAGTATCTTCATACCAATAAAAACAGCACAATTAAGAATATGTAGGTTAGACTAGTAGAAAACCCCTTAGAAACAAGGACATTTCTTAAAATGACATCGTCTAGGAATTGACAACACTTAGTTGAATACAAAGCTATCCCTGCAGTGGGGACTTTCCTTAACTTCTCTCCCAGCATCCTGAAGCAACAGGTTGGAGACCATGGGTTTGAGGAATTTGAACTCACCAGTCCCAGAGTCCCTGGTCAGACATACCTCATACTGGTAGCTCTGGGACAGGGTCCCCGTGCCACTGATGTCGACCAGGTGTCCAGGAAAGTGGCCCTCAGGAGCAGAGCAACCACCAAGAGACGCCGCCCTGGCCCTCCTGCACAGCCTTATCCCCACGAACAGCAGCACAGACAAGAGAAAGAGCGAAGACACAGACGCCAAGGCAATGACCAAATAGAGTGTGAGCAAGTCCTCATTGTCCTGTACAGAGTCGCGCGCCACCTCTGGCAGAGGCAGGTAGGGCTGAGAGAAGCCATCCACCACCAGCACGTGCAGAGTGACACTGGCAGACCGCGGAGGATCGCCATTGTCCTTGACCAGCAGCAGCAACCTGTGCTTGGGCGCATCGCGCTCACTCAGCAGCCTGGAGGTGCGCACCTCGCCATTGTGAGCCCACACGCTGAACAG